GGATCTGAATTTTGCATTCGAGCCATCTTCGTTCACTCTTTCCCTTTCACTGTCACACTTAGGCACTCAATATCATATGGGGACTATTTCTCACTTAGCTTGATGCCGATCGAATCAGGACTCGATTGAAGGGAGATATGTGTGATCCGTATCCGTTGCCTTCTGCCCTTCTTGAGTACTCATCAAATCAGGGGGTGCACCAATTTTATGCGCTGTGGTAAGGGTGGTCACTCTCCAAATAGAACACACGGCCATCCTGCTTGTATTTGGGACAACTCTCTTCAGGGAAGCCAACCGTGAGTTGTATCTAGGAGGAACAGCTACTCAGCCCGACCCCCCTCTCACATTCCCTCTCACACTCTGCGCTCTCTCTCTCTCGCACACTGCGCACTCTCTCTCCCACACTGTGCACTCTCTCTCACACTCTGCACTCTCTCTGTCATTGCACACTCTCTCCCTCACTATGCACTCTCTCTCACTCTGAACAGACCCTCTCTCTCATACTCAGTCCCACTCTATCATATGCAGCCCCTCTCTACCGTTCAGACGCACTCACACACAGTAGATGAGCAGTGTTCAAGCACGCCCCCGCTTCACCAACTCCAACGCACTGTCCTCCCTTCTCTACGGGCCCAGTCTGCAAGTGTGGAATAGTGGGGCAGGTGAGTGGATAAGAGTTGTAGATACAATAGCTCCTTATTGCCAACTTACGTGTAGCTGCCGATGCTCGATTACCAGCGCGTCAGTCTGTTGACGTCATCATCATCTACTGTAACCACCGGGTCAGCACTAGCGCCCCATGAACGAGCACGGACTCGTGCGCTGCTTTCCGTGCGGTCACAGTCTGTGCGCTGCTGTCCCTCTGGTCATCGCCCCTGCTGTGACAACGGTCGCCTTGGTCACTCCAACCAGGTGTGCAGTCCCCCTCTCTCTCACTCTCCCTCTCTCCCGCAGTCTCTCACTCCCGCTGCGCCTGCTACGTGGGCGGGGGACGCCTTGCATGCTGCTCCCCTCCCCGTTGACCTACTCGGATCCTCCCATGTTGTGGGCCAGGTACACCTTGCATGCTGTTYCCCMTCTCTCCTCTGTTCCCCCCTATATTCATTCCACATTTGCTTGTACTGCCGAGACCGTCGGTACCAGGCCCAGCACAGGCTAATTTCGGGTGGTACGTGAGCACCGTCCTCGGGTCAACAACTGGGCGTCGTGGTACCAAACCGGGTACAGATGGTCGCAGTGATGGTGCCGGGCCTGAGTTAATTACCTATGATAGCACCGAACCTGGAATAACCTGCCGTCCAGGTTCCGGGCCTGAGACAGACCACCGCGGCAGTCTCCAGACTTGAAAGTAAATCATCCCAAAGCTGCAGAACCTGAAATAAGCCGCCGTGGCGGCGGCGTACCTGAAATAAGCCGCCACAGTGTTCCCAATAAATTGTCTCAATGGCACCGAACCTGACACATGCCACCGTGAGGGTGCCGAATCCGAATAATGGTCTGCTGCAGCGGTGCCGGAGCTGAAAAAAAATCACCGCCGAGCCTGAAAATAAATCACCACTAGGATCCCGAACCCGAAATACATCGTCATAGTGGCTCCAGACCTGAAGGTAAATCACCACAGAGGTCCCGAACCTGAAATAGATCGTCACAGTGCTCCCGGACTTGAGAATAAATCACCACAGAGGTCCCGAACCCGAAATAGATCGTCATAGCGCTTCCGGACCTGAGAATAAATCACCGCAGAGGTCCCGAACCTGATATAGGACGCCGCAACGTCTCCGGACCTGAAAACAAACTGCCGCCAAGGTCCCAAGCGTGGAATAACTGTCATAGTGGCCCCGGTCCTGTGTCACCAAGCCCATACCATACCTGAAGCACGTCAAACACCGCACGACGTAGCCACTCCGTAACAAGCCTCATATCCGTACCGAATCAAACACCATGGTCGACCCAAGGTAGCACCTGCCCATGCGTCTCCCGCTCTCAGAACGTCCCAACAACRGKAGTGTTAGTAATCAAGCAAACTAGCGAAAGCGATGCAGGGAACCTCGGCCATCGGCAGTATTGAACACTGTTAAAATCCGGGGTCAGAGCTAACGGCGGGTAATCRAGGCGAAATTAGGCCAACCTCCTAATAATCATGAGTTCCCGTCCCTTTCATCATTTTTCATCATTCTTCCCTTCCCTTAATTCTATTGTTGGAAATAGTAAATTAACCGTAAGATCCCCAAAATAAATTTTCGAGAAAGTTTAATTAAATGGCGGAATTTCTTTTGTTTCTTTTCTCTCCTACAATTTTTAATATTTTTTCTATGTTTTTAATTTCATTGCCGGGAACATAAAATAACAAGGGTATTCCCCCTCGAATTAAATACCATAAAAAATAAAGAAATTAAGGGATGTTATGTTTTTCCCTTCTCCCCTACTGGTCGTAATCCCTCTTCCCCATCTTTAATTATGGTACTAAAATAGACAAAAATTTGAGACCTCATTTCGGCCCTGGTCGTATGGCGCCAAAAAAGGTGGCTGCGAGGTCAGTTCCCGCGATACTTCTCCGCGGCAGGCCAATCCGGGTTTACCCCTCTGAACGGCCGGAAAAGACGATCCGTTGATGTGCCGAGCGCGACCACCCATCTTGCCATCTTTGAAGGTTACCCGTAAGGTTCAGCGCGCCCAAAATCAAGGGCGCCCTGAGCTCCCCTAATTTCCGCTACCTTGTCTAACCAGAGTACCGTCAAAACTCAGACTCGTCTTCGCGCTTAAGTCCCAAAACCGTAGATTTCAGGCGGCGCACTGCTTGTGGCCGCCTGAC